AATTCTTAATTACAGAGTTCTATAACCCAGGCTTAAATACTGGGTCTCTCATTTATTTACCAGCTGGGTGACCTTGGGAAGTTTTTTTTTTTTTCTTCTTTATTTCTCTGGGCATCAGTCACCCCAGAAATAGATAACTGCCTATTTCAAGGTTTCTTATGATAATGAAATGAGATAACTCATTAAAGTTCTTGGCAATGTGGCTCAGTTAGTTGGGTATCATCCCATGCACTGAGAGATTGCCAGTTCGATTCCCAGTCAGGGCACAGGTCTAGGTTGTAGGCTCAGTCCCCAGTAGGAAACATGCATAAGACAGCTGATTGAAGTTTCTCTCTCTCCCTCTCTCTTCCTTGCTCTCTCTCTTGAAATTATTTTTTAAAATATATATATTTTTTAAAAAGGCCTTAGCACATATATTAAGCATTCCTCAAATGATGCTTCTCATTCTATAGAATGAGAGTTTTGGAGCCATAGATATATAGGTTTTCAGAGTTTTGGCAATAATAGAGTTCAACAGTATGAAAAAGCACTTTGTAATATTTCTATTCTGCTTAGCACTAATCAGGCTCCATCTTGAGCAGTGGTTTCGTTTTGGGGAGCCATGTTTTCAGAGGGACCTAGACCAGAGGTTCTCAAACTGTGGTCCCCAAGACCAGCGGCATCAGCATCCTATAGGAGTTTCTTAGAAATGCAAATTATCGGGACCACTCCAGCCCTGCTGAATCTAAATCTGTGGCGGCGAGACCTACAAATGTGTTTTAACAACTTAATGTTAACAACCATCAGCCTGATTCGGATGCATGCTAAAGTTTGAGAGCCATTGACCTAGATAGACATGTTAGGGGGAGATAAAGGTCTCCAATCCATGCCTATTGAGTCTAGTTGAAGAATCTGAAGATGTTCAGCCTCAAGGAAAGATGTGACCAGTCCAAGTAAGCATCAGATGGAAGGAGGAGCTGGCTTGTTTCTCCATGTCAGTCCAATGACACTTAGGTCAAGGGTGGAGAGCTTCGTGGGGGAAACTAGCAGGTGGACGAGAGAAGGTGCTCTTGGCTGCAAGTAAATGACAGCTGATCCAATGGCCTAAATCATAAGGGGCCTATTGACAAGAGGAGTCCAGAGGTAGAGAGGTCCCTATCTGGCTAATACACCAGGTCAGCTACATCCTCAAGGACCCAGGCTTTTCCTGTCCCTCCTTTCTGCATCTCAGTTGGATCAGCTTTTCTCCTTATGGTTGCCCGGTGGTGGAAGAATGTCCCAGGTCTCCTGCTCATTCAGTAAGAGGCAGAGGAAGAAGGTATGTCTTCCTTGTCTCTCCTTCTAAGGAACCTTTCCCAGGGGGACTCCCCTCTCCCTCCAGCACATGTCCCCTGGCATCTCATTATGAATTTGACACCCCAGGTCACATGACACTTCCTAGGCTGGTTCCAGGCTGGATCATGGAATTGCTGGTATTGGCTTAGACCAGTGGTCAGCAAACTGTGGCTCTTGAGCCACATGCAGCTCTTTGGCCCCTTGAGTGTGGCTCTTCCACAAAAAACCACATGCGGGCGCATGCGTGCGTACAATGCGATTGAAACTTTGTGGCTCATGCGCAGAAGTCAGTTTTTGGCTCTCAAAAGATATTTGTTGATATTTGTAATTGCCTGATATTTGGCTCTGTTGACTAATGTGATTGCCGACCCCTGGCTTAAACCAGGGCTCATCCACCATATCTGTCCCATGGACCCCTTCCACAATCCAGCCAAACCTACAGACCCTTCTCAGCATAGTGTCTTTAACGGCATAAAACAAAAGGATAGGGTTACACAACATTGTATTGTGTAACCAATTGTATTGAAATATGGTCTTCAAAATGTATTTCTTAAAGTGTGATAGAGGAATAAACTCGCTTCTTTATTAGCACATTAAACAACAAAATCCAGAGGCAGATCTAATAACAACCGTAAATTGAAGCAGTGATGAGTGTCAACAGCGTTCTGAGATGTCTGGAATAACTGTTTTGTGATGTGGAGGTGTCTGTGCTTACTCTTGGTGACAAATCACAAGCCGCTGCTAATGCCGCTGTGGTTTGCTGCTTACATTCATGATACAAGGAAATGCTACACTTCAGTTGGAGGCTGGTGAAAACAAAGTGGCTTCCCCTCCCTCCCCGCTTCATGCATGTTTTCGAATCCCACGCATTTCTCCCACCACCCTGGGGTGGGGTTTTCTGTGGACTTCACGGTATGAGCCCCTAGCTCAGATTCATCAAGATTCACACTCCGGGGCCAGGAGTGGGCAAGTCTTTTCTGAGACGAGTGGCCTTTTCAAAGGAGTGTGAATACCTAAGCTAAACCACAACCCAAAACAGAAGTGGGTGTGGGCGGAGGGTGGGAGAGGAAGGCGGAGGAGGGGTGGGGAGGGCCTGGCTCCGGGATCTGCTCCGTGCACGTCAGCGAGGGCTGCCTTCCGAGGGAGAAGGCTTCTCGTCACCCGAGGAAGAGCCCTCGTCCATGGGAGGCAGACACCAGAGGGGGCCCACACCAGGACTGCCACCAATCTCGGCCTCTTCCATTCCCCCCATTTTATTTTTTGTTTCCTGGTTTGTTTGTTTGTTTGGTTTGTTTTTTTTAAATCTTTATATGCATATTAAGTGAAAGATATAACACTTGCCCTTGACAAATATTCAGCCTCCTCGGCTCCTCCTGCTCTCCCACTTCTTGGAAGCAACCACAGCTCAGCTTGGTGGGTGTCTTCTCAGACAGCTTGCCGTGCCCACGTGCCATCCCAGCAGCTCACACGCTTCCTTTGCAGAGAAACTAGCGGGCAGAGCAGGTTCCCGGGCCCTGCCCTCCCCCATGCTGGCGAACGTGGGCTGAGCTCAGCGCCCCTTAAATTCTGCAAGGAAACCCGGAGGCTCAGGGAGGGGAGGTGGGCCTAACATCGCATTCCTCGTACGTGGCACAGCTGGAACTTCAGTGCGTGTCTCTCACCCCCCAACATCCATGCTCTGAATGCCATCCATACCTGTTGGCTTCCAGAGCTATACACGAAGGGGACTAAAATAAGCATTGGCCCAGAAACAAATTTTTTTTTAAAGGGATGGAGTGGGCATATCCTAGAACCTGGCTTGGAAGGTGCCCACTTGAGATGGGCATTCACACTGACGTGTTTGGGTGCCTCAGCAATATGTCTTGAGTATCCTAAATATTCACAGGAGACTCCAACCGTCTACTCACAAGCCAGCCCTGGAAACAGGAGGCATTACATTCAGGTAAAAGATGTCCTCTGGGAGTTCTATAACTTCACATCGTCCTGGAGACACTGGGGACCATATTTGCTGAGTAAAGGCTGGCTGCGGACCCGAGAGGGCCCCGGGTCAGAGAGCATCTAGCTCTGGGCTGCCTGGGTTCTGCCACAGGCTCAGAGCCCCGCCTGCATCTTCCTCCTCCACTCATTCATCCATTCACCCATCCTCCAACCCACCTTCTCTGAACCAGTTTCCTCATGAGAAAACCGAGGATAGAAGCCTCCCTTCAGGGCTGTGGCGATCAGCACAGGGCCTGGGGCCCCCAGCGCTCCTCCCGCATCACCGTTTCAACAGTTCCCAGCCCCCCTTCAGTCCGGCTGCCAGGGGAGCGCGGAGACAGGCAGGGCGGGCTCATCACTGGTGGTGCCTGTGGTCTCTGCACAGAGGAGGGACCATGACCAGGGCTTAGCCTGAGAGCCCCAGAGGGACATGCCTGCAGGCAGATTCTCTGCCCCCCGCGGTGGGTGGGAATGAACCCAGGGCAGTCCAAAGCGCAGGGCATGATGGGAGGGTTTGGGGGCGGGGTTCAGGCTGGCAGAGCAGAGCTCCACGTGTGAACTTGGTGAGCTGTTTGGCTCCTCTGAGCCCGTTTCCTCAGCTGTAACAGGGGACGGTGACACCTCACGGGGAAAAAACGAGATCCCTGAGGTGCAGTCCATGCCCAGCCCTCCGCCCTGGCAAACCCACCCGAGAATCTTGGGCTCATGCGCCTCAGGAGACACGGATAGAATGCTCCCAGCAGTGTGGTCGGTGGTGGCACTCGGACAGAAGCGGATTCTGGTCGGCAGCAGAATGGATAAACAAGTGGATGCGTTGTAGGGTATTCCTGCAGGGGGAATGCTATATAGCAATAAAAACGGGCAAATCACAGATACATGACAACATGGGTGAATCTCAAATGTAGCGGTGCATCAAGAATAGAGATGGTGCTGAAACCGGTTTGGCTTAGTGGATAGCGGACTGAAAGGTCCCAGGTTCAATTCTGGTCAAGGGCATGTACCTTGGTTGCAGGCACATCCCCAGTAGGGGGTATGCAGGAGGCAGCTGATTGATGTTTCTCATGGATGTTTCTGACTCTTTATCCCCCTCCCTTCCTCTCTGTAAAAATAAATAAATAAATAAATAAATAAATCTATCTATATCTATATCTATATCTATATATAATAGAGATGGTAAGATTCCATGTATATAAGTTCAAAAAGCTAGGCAACACTCAGCTATTGTGCTGAAGATGTCATGCGTATAGGTAGTGAAACTAAAAATAACAATGAATATGATGACCTTAAAAGTCAGGGTGCTACTTACCTAAGAGAGAGGGGGGCTGTGGATCAGTGGGCCTGACCCAGGTGCTTCTGGGGTGCTGCTTGGCGGGCAGTGGCTCCCCCTTGTTTGCTTTATAATTTATTTATTCACAAAACAGTGTAAACATGTTTTATGCACTCTTTACTTGTGATTACTTCAAAACCTAAGAATAATTCAAGTGCCTGGTGCTGAACAAAGGCTGGTTTCCCTTCACCCTCTCCCTGTGCGCCTCCCAGCTCTTGTTCCAAGCTCCAGAGGAGAAGGCAGAAGTGAGAAAATGCTGAGGGAGGTGTGAGTGTGGCTGGGAGGCCCTCCCTCTGTCCCCCCTCCCTCCCCCACCCCCTTCCCTCCCCCTCGCCTGCGGAACTGCTCTCAGACACATGCCCGTAAAGACACTGCCCAGAGGTTTTCTTAAACCACTTTATTCAGGTTGGCTGGTAGTGACGGATTGAATCATGTATATAGGGTTACCCCCCCGCCCTCAAACCCCCATCCCACCCCTGGGGCAAAGCCCTTGGCCTCTCCCACATCCCCCATGCCACTGCTGAGAGGTGGCCAGAGGTTAGAGCCAGTTCTGAGGGGGTGCTGGGCACAATAGAAATATTTACACATCACCGGGGGCGGGTGTCCCCCTGATCAGGAATGGTGAGGGGATTGGTGCTGGGGTCCCTGGGGTCCCAACAGCCCCAGGCCCTTGGGTGGGCTTGGCATGGATCCTAAGAGAGAGACAGGGCTGGGACATTGGCAGCTGGCAGAGGGGGCTCCTGGGAGAGCCTCAAAGACCCTTAGAAGGGTCCTGCTGGTGCAAAACGCTGCACGGGGCCATGGAGTCCGAGGGAGAAGGCCTTCTCCATGAAGGGGCAGAGATGCCTGGTCCCCCACCGCCCTGGAGGGTGGGACAAGGAGGCTGACCATGAATGACCCACCAAGAGGCAGCGGGGTGTCTCCCTTTCCTCCCAGGGCCCCTATGAGTGACCCCAACAGGCCCCAGCCCCAGAGCAAGGCTCTCCTGGGAGCTCTTGCCCCACCTCTTCCCCACGGGAGAGGCCCTAGCTCTGCTCGGAGATTCAAGTCCAAATCCGGGGAGGGGTTGCCGTCCACATCCCCAGGCTCAAGTGGGGGATCGTGGGAAGGAGGGAGAGTAAGGCTGGACGGCCTGGCTAGGGACAGGATGGGTGGGGGGACAAGCAAGCAAAAGCGAAACACTAGACTCCACCGAAGCTGGTGGCCCAAGGGGGCAGCCTGCCCCAGCATGGCGTCCCGACCCCAGGTGTGGAGTAGCCGTCCCCTTGGTGCCCAAGGCTACCTCCCGCGAGCCAGGTCAGGTCACCGTAACGGATCTGCAAAGGAAGGGCTGAGAGGGGCTAACATGCTGAGCAAAGGGGTCAGAGGGCCTACGCGGTGGCCACAGGCCTCAGGGATGGGGAGGCGGCTGGACCAGGCGGCCCCGTCCCCACGGTCCAGCAGCTCCTCATGCACTCTGTACAGCCTGGGGGCATGGGTGGGCGGGCACGTGGCGGGGGAGCGTCTGTCCGTCCGTCTAGAGGCTGCAGGCCTCCTCATCCACCGACCGCTTTCGCAGCTCCTTGCCCGGCTTCGGGGGCGGCGGGGCGGGCGCGGCGGGCGGGGCTTCGGGCAGATGCAGGACCGAGTTCTCGCCGGGCTGCACCCGCAGGTAGGCCTTGACCTTGTGGTGCCGGGCCTTGCCATCGCTGAAGTCGATGACCCGGCACTCGTAGGTGCCCTCGTCCGTGGGCTTCACCCGGGACAGGCGCAGCTTGTGGGAGATGTTACTGCCCACCACTTTGACCACCTGGGGGCGACAGAGAGACCGTGGGGCAGCGGGAAGACAAGAGGGTCAGCCGCAGGGGGTTCAATAGCAAAAAATAGAAGCACCTTAAGTATCAATCCACAGAACAGACACACAAGCGGAAGTCAGTTCATTACATGGAACACGGCAAAACAGTTAAAAGGAATACTACCCTGGAGCCAGGCATGTCACAGCTCAGGGACATGCAGAAGGTGAAATCTCACTGCAAAACCCCCACCATTTCTGCACACGAACACATAAAAACACTGTCTCCTGGTTTTGGAGACGTGTGTATGGACAAGTTTAAAATACGCGGCAGGGAACACGGGCCTCATAGCAGAGGCTGCCTTGAGGATGCGGCCCAGTGGAGGGCGGTGGACCTGGGGTGGATGCAAAGTGAGTTCTTAGCTTAGTCCAAAATGTCTTATTTCTAAACAAACAAACAACAAATACAGCCTGGCCTACGTGGCCCCGTGGTTGAGCATCGGCCTATAAACCAGGAGGTCATGGCTTAATTCTCGGTTAGGATATACAGGCTCAGGTTGCAGGCTCAATCCATTACATGATTTTCTCTCAGCATTGATGTTTCTATCTCTCTCTCCCTTTCTTTTCCTTTCCTCTCTGAAATCAATAAAAAATATATATATATATATTTTTTAAATACAGGCTGACCACAAATGTATCAGCATTTCAATAATTGCTCATCCCTGTTGGGGTGAACAGAACGAGTGTCTGTGATACTTGGCTTTTTGTTTATGCCTCTGGTTGGGATTTTAAATTTTATCTTAAAAATGAATTTTAACGTATACACAGCAAAGTGCACACTCGATTCAATTTTAAAAGTGCACACAAGTGTTTCCTTGTGCAACCACCAACCAGAGCAAGGCAGGGCCATTTGTAACCCGAGAGCGCACCCTGGTGGCCCTTCCTCGCCAACGTTCCCCAGGGGTGAACTACTACTCTGACTCCTATCACTACAGTTCAGGTCAGTCTGTTCTTGAACTCTTTCACACAGCATAGTATCAGCGAGATTCTCCATGTTGTTGCATGTCTGTTTGTTATTTTTCATTGCTGTGTAGTATTCCATCATGCGATCACTGGGAAAGCTAGGTGAAGGATACAAGAGAAGGTTTTTGCAATTTCCCGTGAGTCTATAATTCAAGATTTAGAAAGCTGGAAAAAGGGAGGGGGGAGTTGGGCCTGTGGAGAGGAGGGAAATGGTGAGTGGAGCTTTCATCCTTCCCTGCCCCTTATTACTTAGACTCGTGGTCAGCAAACTGTGGCTCGCGAGCCACATGCGGCTCTTTGGCCCCTTGGGTGTGGCTCTTTCACAAAATACCACGGCCTGGGCGAGTCTATTTTGAAGAAGTGGTGTTAGAAGAACTTTAAGTTTAAAACGTTTGGCTCTCAAAGAAATACTAATTGTTGTACTGTTGATATTTGGCTCTGTTGACTAATGAGTTTGCCGACCACTGACTTAGACCCTTCCTATTTCCCCATCCCACCTCCTACAGCCCCCACCCCATCGAGGCAGAACAGTGGCGATCAGTTCGCCACCGCCAGCTGGTGACCCCTTCCTGGTGACCTCACCCCCCCCCCCCCACAGGCTCTCCAGGCTCAGGAGGGAGCTGCATGGGCTCCAGACTGGGGGCCCTGGCACTAAGCCCTGCTGGCCCCTCAGCCGGCCTGTTCTTGCCAGGCCCCAACTCCCGGAGGGGGGAGCCCTTGCTGATCACCCACACAGTGAGGAGGCCAGGAGGAGGAGGACAGTCCCTGACGGGTTCATTCACTCTGCAGAGCACCCACCCATGTAACTTCCAGGCATCTCACTAGTCTGCTCTGGCCTCCCTGGTCCCTTCTCATCTCCTCCCAAGTGTTCTGCTCTTTCTGACCCCAGGTTCTTTGCATAGGCTGGTTTCCCAGCCCCATCTCTCTTCCCCTACGTGATTCCCACTCATTCCCCAACATCACCTCCTCCAAGAAGCCTTCCATCACAACTCTGTTTCCTTCCTAGCAGTCATCACAATTTGAGAACCACTTAATTGATTTGTCTGTTGATTTTATTTTTGCTTTTCTCTCTGGCTAAACTATAAATTCCATGAAGACAGGAATATCTATTTTGTTCATCATAGTGACCATCACAGGGCCTGGTACCCTGTAAATAATAATAATGAATTGTTGGACTCACTATAGGTCCTTCTTTCTCCAAATGAAGTGGTACCCAGGCTTGCTAACTTGAGGTCACATACACACAATTCTACCCACTTTACAGATGGTGAGACTGAGTCTCCAGAAGGAGGAGTGAGTCTCCCCCGGGCACTGAACCAATGAGTGGCGGAGCCAGGAGCTGGACCCAGGCCTGACTCCATGCATTCTCTCCCTCAAAATGGTGTAACTGGCCCACACAGCGTCACCAGGAGCTGGCAGGGCTGTGGTGAGGGGGCTGCTTCCCGGGCTCCAGAGGGAAGAGGGCAGCTGGGCAGCAGCAGGGAGCCTGCCCGTCCTCCCCTATTCTGAGCGCAGTGGCTGGCCATCGTCCCCGGAAAGCGGGAAAACATGGGCTGTGGCACAGCAGGAGGCACAAGGTGGGCCATGGGCCACAGACAGAACTTCCCCACAGCACGCCGCGGGAAGCCTTACAGCGGCCCTCCCGGTGCGGGGGCCGGGCGCCCCTTCCCGGTTCCAGGCTGGGCCAGCTGGAGGCTGTCAGCCCTGCCGATCCCATCACCCCTGGCCAAGGGCAGCCAGAGGTCCTCTGGCCCTGCCACGCTCTCGGGGAGTGAGGGGATGCTGTTGCAAATGCGCAGCGGGAAATGAATTACCTCAACATCTGTTTCCCTCACGGATATTAATTATCCTTCATTTGTCAACCCTACAAGGCGCTAATGGAGTAATAATGCGAAGCGCTGGGAGCAGCCGCTCCCAGGGAGGGAGCGTGGAGCGCGGCCCACCCCTCAGCCCACCCTCCCTCACCCGGGGCGCTAAGGCTTGGATGGGCTCCCTCCCGCCCTGTCACCCCTTTGCCAGCAAACGTGGCTCTCAGACACTCTTCCCCAGACCCCCTCCCGCCCTCTGCCCCACAGGAGGAGGGGAGCCGAGCACACGTAGAGATGCTGGAGGCTGGGCTCTGATCCTGACGGTCCAGGCACCCTGGCCATGGTTTTCTCGGGCTGGATCATCCATCCATCGGACTCACATTCATCAAGCGCCCCCTCTGAGCAATGCCAGCCTGGGCTTGCGGTCACATGGGGGATCCAGACCTCACTCCTGTCATCCAGCCCCACAGTAAGCTGGTGCCTAATAGGACAGAGGACACACACACACACACACACACACGGCTTCCCCCCAGGCCCAGGGATCTGTGCGAAGGGCCGCCTGGAGAAGGCAAACACTGAGAACGGCAGCAGTGACCGCGGCGCTGGTGGCTGGTGTCTATGGCGTGTCTGGTCCCTGTGAGATGATGTACTGAAGCGTCACACATCGTACCCAAACCTCGAGATAACTCCGTGGTGCAGGCACTTCTGAAAGACCCAACACGCCCATTGTATGAGTCAGGAAACTGAGGCTCAGAGAGGTGAGGTGCTTGGCCCAAGGCCTTAAACACAGCTCTGGGGAGCCTCCCGGGACCAGGGAAACTCAGGTCTGTCTTTCCACCCCCTGCCCCACCTCATTCCCCGGGACCCCAAACCTCCATGCTTTAGGTAGGGGTGTCGAACTCAATCAGAGAAGGAGCCAAAATCTAAAATCCAGCCTAAATCGCGGGCCGAATGGTTTACTGAACAGTCATAAACTGTCATTGTGATGGAAACGCAGCGGAGTGCAGTGATGACAGCACGGTGCGGGCCACATTGCAAGGCCTGGCGGGACGGATTTGGCCCGCGGGCCTTGTGTTTGACACATGTGCTTTAGAGGGTCCCGCCTTCTCAGAGACAGCCTGCGAGGGCCCCCATCATCCTGCCCTGCTTCCTGGGGGTGGCAGACGCAGCCTGTTGGATCTCATCATTCACAAATTGGACAGAAAATCCTGTGGCCCAGACGTCCAGTGAGACTGAGAGGCCGGAAGAAGAGACCCTCACACGGCCGCCCGGCTGTAAATCATAATCACCGCAGCACAGGCATCGACAGGCCCTGGTGGTGCAATTAAGCACCTAATTATGCTGAAAGAAACAAGGCGAGTCCACGCCGTGACCAGGCACAGCCTCTCCCCTGCCCGCCTGTGGCCCAGCTCTTTCCGGGCCCGGCAGACAGGCTGGGGTTTTCTCCCGAGCGCCATCAATTTGAGTGCCGGGTGCCAGACCTTTCCTACATGTGTGGTGGTCCCGAAAGGTGCTGGGGTGGGGAGCGGGGGTCAGATGGTCCCTGTCCCAGGCCAGCTCCTGCTCAGAGCTCTGCCACTCCAGTGCCTCCGTCAGCAACACGCAGCCACTCCACCAGCCTGCCGGCATCTCAGAACCAACCCAGGGTCTCCCCAAATTTGGGCCCGAGAAAGCCTCACGCCTTGTAGCCTGACCCTCCCAAGTCATCACTCCCAACGCTGCTTCCACACTCGGGCACAGTCCATCTCCAAATCCCGTTGATCTCTCCACTGAATCTCATTGGGCCCCTCCCCGTCCCTCCAGGATCCAGATCCAAGTGCACTGGCCAGAGCAAGGCCCCAGCTTGTCTCATCTGGGTCATCAGTGACCCGGGGTCCCTGTGGAGCCACTCCGTTTTCCCATGACAGCCGGACAGATCTTTTCAAAATGCCCCCAACTTAGAATCCTCCCTTCTACTGCTCCTTGAAGTGACTGTCAGGAGAGGGAGCACTTTGGGGTCTCATCCCTGCCTCTCCTCAGCCACACGGGCCTCCAACCGTTCCTCCCACACACACACAGCCAGAGAGTTCCCTTTTCTGCTGGTCAAGTCCTCTACATGTCAATGCTCATCTCAAAGAGCACCTCCTCCAGGAAGCCCTCCAGGCCTCCCCAGTCTAGGTCAGGTCCTGTTGCTGGCTCAGACTCTCATGCAGCTCTCCTCACCGTGATGAGCACAATGGTCATTTGATTTTTCATCATGTGATGACTGGGTTAACACTCATCTCCCTCCCTGACTGGGAGCACCCTGAGGGCTTGGGTGTGTGGCCATGGCCTTCAAAGAGGCGTCTTCATGGCCCTCAACTGCAGCCTGGCTGCTCTGCGGATGTTTCAAGGGATACCTGGGATGGATGTGATGCTGTGGTAATGAGCCTCGTTGTTAATAACAGGAAAGGAGCAACGGGAAGGCCAACTATTATAGGCACGTCATTTGGGCAGCTTCGCCGGGAAGCTACAGCTTTACACCCCCCATGTACAGTAGAAATGCCTACAGCAGAAAATGAAGTCACAGGGCACCCTGACCCACCCTTGGCCTGATAATGCAGACTACGTGGACTGGTCCTGGCACACGCTGGGGGCAGCCAGGCAGGGCAGGAGGGGCTTAACCTGCAGGCCACTTGGTTGATCTGACAAACGCAGCTGCCTCTTAACGAACCAATGATGGAGATCCTCGGTGGGGCTGCAGAGTGCTTCCTGAGACCTCTTGGGCTGTTCCTGGCTTTGGGGGTTTGGCTGGGGGGTGGCAGGTTAGGACGAGTGGGCCAGAGCACTAAGCCACATGTCCATGGGACCCGGGCTTCCCATGGCTCTTTCGGACGGAAGCAGGGACATGAACTGAGCGCACAGCCCAAACAACTTCAGTTAGGCGGGAGGAGGAGCTACCGGTGATGAAGGCAGCTGGGCCCACTGGGAACAAAGGTGTGTGGAGAATTTCACCTCATTTCAAAATTAGGAAGTTAGGAACCATCTCTACTTGCAAACCTGGTTAAGGGGAAATTAACTTAAAAGTGTAAAACAAAGAACTTCCATTAGATCAAAAGAAAAACTTCCAGAACTTGAGAATGGCCAATAAGCAGGAGGATTTGCCTGAACCACAGGAACGAGAGTCCGGTGGTGGCAAACTACCCAGGGAAATGTTTTTAAGGCCAGAGGCCCTTCCCTTGGCTCCTAGCTACATGAGATAATTCATGTAAAGCACTCAGCATGGCTCCTGACATACTAAGCACTCAATGAATGGTAACTGCATCATCATCATCATCATCATCATCATTACTATTACTATCTTATCCCAGGTGCCTGTCCTCCCACACACATAAGTGATCCCTTAGGTTCCCCTCCGATTTCCTGCAGAGAAGCTGGGCCTCTTTCACTGCTCCCACCTCCCCCTCCTCCCCTCATGTCCTGGGAATAGGAATCTGTGATTTTCAAATTCATGTTGTTTCCACTCTAGTAACCACAGTCATTCACATGGCCATAGCCATAGGACTTTACAGTTTCCAAAGTGTTTGCATGTAGGTGTCGGACATCAGTGAGGGGGAAAGGGAGGCACAGGGAGGTGGCAGAGCTGGTGGGAAAGCTAACTGTACTTCCTCCTTCAGAACCCCAATGCTACCCTTAACGAACCAATTATGGAGATTACATTGTTTGGCTCCCATGGTGTTTCCAAAAATCAAGTTAGGTCCCAATAGCTAAATATCAGGAGATATTGCCATGGCTGGTTTGACTCTGTAGTTAGAGTGTTGGCCTGTGGACCAAAGGGTCTTGGGTTCAATTCCCAGTCAAGGACACATACCTGAGTTTCAGGTTCAATCCCTAGCCCCAGTTGGAGCACCTGCAGGGGGCAACCAATGATGTCTCTCTCACATCAATGTTTCTCTCTCTCTCTCTCTCTCTCTTTCTCTCTCTCTCTCTCTCTGTCCGCACCCTGGCCCCAGCCTTCCTCCCTTCTACTCTCTCTAAAAAAAATCAATGGAAAAAATATCCTCAGGTGAGGATTAACAATAACAACAATAAAAAATCAGGAGATCTTCCACCAAAATTGGGGTTTTTAGGAGACATGGAACCATTGGGCTGGAACAGCGCCTGGGTTCTGCTGGACGTGAAGGAGTGAAGCCCTGCACGAGTCCCTCACTCATTCACATCACCCGTACACATACATGTCCTGACATGGGATGCATGTCACGTTGGTGTGTCCATGTGTCAAAATCTGTCTGGGTATATGCCCCCATTGGCCTGAGGGTGTGTATGTATGTGTAACAGTCATTTGATAATTTTTTTAAAGAATAGTTTATCGATTTTTAGAGATAGGAAGGGAGAGGGACAGAGAAACATCAATGCGAGTTTAACATCGATTAGCTGCCTCCTGCACACCCTTACTGGGATCAAGCCCCAAAACCTTGGCATACGCCCTGACAGGAAATCAAACCAGCAACCTTTCGGCTTACAGGATGATGCCCAACCAACCGAGCCACACCGGCCAGGCATGGTGCTAGGCTCTGGAACTGTAACAGTGAATCAGGCAGGCACCGTTCAGCCCTACTGTCTGCAGGGGGAGTCACAGGAATGGATAATTATTAATACAAAAGGAAACGCAGCCAGCAGGGGGAAGGGAGGTGCCCGCTGAGTCACAGGGTCAAGGGAGGCCTCCTGACTTCGGCGCTAAAGGAAGAGAGAGGAACAGACTGGGACTGGCCGGTGAGAAGGCAGAAAGGGGGCAGGTTGGGAGGGGCAGAGGAGCCAGCTCAAGCAAGACGAGACAGCCCAGAGGGTGAGCAGGGAGCCCAGGGCCTTGAAGGCGACAGGGAAAGTCTGAGCTTCTCCTAGACCGCAGGAAACCAGGGTGGGCATCTACTGATGGAGCTGCCAACTACATGTCCATGTATGTAAGAGCCGTCACGTGTGTGACGCTGTCTGCAGGAGGAGCCACCTGTGAGACCCCAACCAGACCCTCAGAGCCCCAGCGGGTGCAAGAAATCGGGGGCCAAGGTGGGGGGAGAGTGGTTGCGCAATCCCTCTGAGCACGTTTATTTTATTATCTAATTAGCATGTTCGCATTCTCCTCACGTGGGGCCAGCAGCCTCTAATTCTAATCCTCTAAAATCCATTAGATTATTCTCTCCTTTGCCTGAGATGCTCCTTAAACCCCAAACAAAATCATAGGAGAGAGAGTTGCGATAAGCGGGGGAGGGGAGGTATATGAATATACAGAGATCCCTACTTGCCTGGACTTACCAGGTTGTGTTTGAGCAAGAAATGGGACATCAACATGGATGTGCCCTTGGCAGAGAGGGAGTAAGGGGCCGAGGGATTGGGGGGGGGGGGGGGGGACGACGATCAGCATCTACCCTAAACTGGAAATGGCTCAAATTTCCAGACCCCAACTCTGAAAGGCCCTGCAGCAAACAGCACAAATGAGGCTTTTAAGGCCCTCTCCTCCCCTCTCATCTGCCCCCCTTTTGTCTGAGGAGCTGCGGGAGCCTCCTCCCAGGCCTCCTGCCTCTTCTCTGCCACCCCATCCCTCCCAGTGCCTGCTCGACACTGTGGCTTCTGCTGTGGCTCCTCCGTGTGTCTGCATCTAGTCAACTTTGGGGTCCCGAGCTTCCCAAGTCCTTGAAAAGTTGTGGAAGAAGCAGCAGAAGAACGAACTTGGAGGCCATTCCCCACGCATACACACCCATACCCCCGAGCACCTGCATTTTCCGAGTGTGTTGACGTGGGCTTCTGGCTTCCTGCCAGGATGACCTCCTGCCCCACGTGCAATCCCAGCCTGGCCTCGTGGCCACATGGGTCCCCAGGCTGTCCCTTCTGCTCAGTCCCCTTCACCTCCTTTCTCAATTCTGCCCGCCTCTCCCGGCTCCTCTTTGGGTGCCCCTCCACCACAAAAACCGTCACCCTCTCTGGGACCCACCTCCCTGGGCTCCAGCACAGCCCACAGACAAAGAACTGGAGTCAGCTCAGTCACACCATGCCCTCTAGCGAGTCTCTAGGCCTCAGTTCCCCACCTGCAAAATGGGTGAGTGCTTGCCCTGCCCCACGGAGGTGTAGCCATGAAAAAATGAGTCAGTGCATCAAAGGCCTAGCCAGTCCTCAACCCCTTCGGCACAGCTCCCCCGCCCGCCTCACCCCGGGAGCGGGAGCAGGGGACCCAGGTGGCCGTGAGAGGCTGCGGCTGTCAGTCGGAAAAAGCCAGCTCAGTCTCATTAGGCCCCGTGGGTTCCCCAAATAAAAAATGCTGCCGAGGCAGACATGAAGCATCAGGGATGCACACAGCCTTGGTTCCCGACAGGAGAGAATGCGTCTTCCCTTCCCCTGTCATTTTTTGTGCCTGTCATTCAATGAACTTGAAAAACCTCTGGCTTTTAAAAAACAGATCAGAGCCATTCTCGCCCCTCCCCCCATCACCCCCTCTGTTTTTCTTCTCCTCCTTCCTCTTGCCCAAGCTCCCTGCGGTATTGGGACAAAAAAAATATATACATTTTTTAAAAAAAATTACAGCTGTGTCCTCCATTAGAGACCTTGTGAGAAGTCATTATAGGACTCACGCTTATTTTGGTCGCGTCCTTCCCCACGTCTTCCTGCTGAGATGCTTTTAGCTGTTGGGAGCGGGAGGGGCGGAGAGAGCAGAGAGAAGCCATTAGCACCACTGGGCGGGGGTCCGGACAGCAGCTACGATTCTAGCAGCAGGGAACGCTGGGACCCTGGGATCCAGTGCCGGGGGCCCCTCAGCTCTGTGTCCACTCAGGGAGTGGGAGTGAGCCAGGGTAAAACTGGCTGTACCTGGGGGTACACGGGGTGGGTACACGTGAAGGCAGAACGTGAGTCCGCGGCGTGTGCCAGTCTGTGCACCTGTGTCTGTGTCTGTGCACGGGCTGTATTTTCAGGGGTGTCACGCACATGAGCGAGTGCCTGCAGCAGATGCTGTCGGAGCCCTGCCCACAGGCTGTTCCCTGAAAGCTGGCCCAGAGGGACCCAGCTGCAAAGACCGGCACCTCGGCTCAGGGCTCTCTGAGCCCTGGAGTCCTCTGAGCCTGCGGGGCGGTGAGGCGACACTCCCAGGAGCAGGACGGAGCTGAAGGGCATCTGTGAGTATGTGAGAGGCTCTCCCCTGAACCTGCCAGAACGTGTGAGCACTCCCATGTGTGCACGGGGAGGTGAGCGAATGTACGTGTTCATATGTGAGTGGGTGGGAAGAGAGGGTGTGTTTGCATGTTATTTGCATATCTGCAAGGGTGAGAATAAGAGTTCCAGCCTGGGTTCCCCCAGATGCAGCCCCAGGACAAAGGCTTGAGTCCAAGTGGTATATCAGGAGGAGGCCCCGGAGGAGTGAGTGAGGGGGACAGAAAGGGAGGAAGTCAGTAATGGGTGCATCATCAAGCCAGGACCCACCGTGGGCACCTGGAACGTACTCTCCTTGGGCACCTCAGAGGAGGAGGTGCCAGCTGAGGGGCGAGGGCCTGAGGGACTGTCCTCCAGCTCCTGTGCTCGTGGCTGAATGCTCCTCCAGCCGGCCTCGCCGACAGCAGGCTCTGTTGTCCACAGAAAACCCTCAGAGTCACGGGGTTGGCTGTTGGCAGTGGGGCTGGTGGCAGGGGCTGGTATATGTCTGGGTGTGTGGGCAGGGACAGCAACAGCATCTGGTCCCGTGGCGGGCACACATGAACGTGTCGGTGTGTGGAGGCCAGTGCATGCACAGAGGCCGGCCGCTGGTGTGCCTGCATGAGTGTGGAAGGGGGCACGCCTGGTGCTCGTGAACTTGGCCACGGCGTCTGCCGTGCTCGCAGGGGCCTTTCCAACACAGCTGTCCGTGCATCTCGGAGAAGTGGCGGGAGGTGAGTCAGAGCGCCGGGAGCCAGCTTCCGGGCCCCTGCCTCAGTTTCCCCACGTGCACACAGAGTGTGGCTGCACTCTGTGCTCTATGGAGGGCTCCCTGGTGGTGCCTTTCCCACGTGCTCAGCCCGGCTCTGCCTCCTGCCGGGAAACACGCCTCCATCTCAGGAAGAAGGGAGGGGGGAGGGAGAAGGGGTGCTGCAGGGACAGAGTGGGGGCCCAGACCCCTCGGAAGAGCTGAGGGGCAGAGACACCCCAGTCGGGCCGGTTCTGGGCGGAGTACCTGGTTGGAGGCCCACACCTGCTTGTCGGTCCAGTCCCTGTGGCTCCGCACGTACCACCACTGGATCTCCAGCGAGTAGGAGGGGGAGCCGCTGCCGCGGAAGGAGCAGGCCATCTCCACGTCCTCGCCCGTCCGCGCCGTCATGTCGTGGGGCGTCTCTGTGAACAGGGCTGTGGGAGAAATGGGGAGGCGTCACTGGGGCTCAGGAACAGGGGCCGCGGCCACAGCGCTGGTGGGTGGGAGAGGCGAGGAGGCAGGAGCCCCAGGGCTGCGGGTGGGGCCCCCGGAGAATCAGCGCGGGGTGCGCAGCAGCAGCTGGCAAGACGGGGTATGCAGGAGTTGGCCTGGGGCTCTGAATGCCCCGCTAGAGCCCGCTTCTGTCCCAGAGCCCATGGCACCACCAGAGACTCTCACAGGGAGCGACGGGCCAGAGGAGGCTGGGTTGCAAGGTGTGAGCAAGGAGGCCAGGAGGCCGGGAAGGAAGCTGCCCGTCCCATCAATTCTTCCAGATTTCCCCAGTCGCCTGCCCCCCAGACCCTTACAGGCTATTCCCAACCCCAATGCTCAGTGCATCGGTCACCCAGGAATGCTACCTCCATCCGCCCTCCCATCCAGCCCCATCTTGCCACGGGGCTGAGATGGGCTTCCTTGGGTGCGGGTGGGGCTCCATCAGGGGGACCTGGGGAGGGGGGCCTCCACCACCTCATTCAGTCTCCCTCTGGCCGCTGGTCTGCCTGAACTAACGGAAAATTCGGGCCCTGGGCCACCAGTTCCTGTCCCTGATGCAGAGCTCAGAGAGGGCCGTGTCCGGCCTGGGATTGCTCAGTGGCCAGAGGTCACAAGGTCAGGTCCCAGCCCCACATCCGTGGCCAGCCCTCTCACCCTCAAAAGCCCTGGTGGCCCCCCCACAGCCACCTCTCCCCTCAAATCTCAGCAATGGTCACACAGAGAGGACTGTCCCACAGGCAGAAACACCTTCGAGGCACACAGAACTTTTACGTGTCTAGTAGCCACATTAAAAAATTTTTTTTTTTAATTTTTGTTTTAAATATATTTTTTATTGATTTTTCTTACAGAGAGGAAGAGAGAGGGAGAGTTAGAAACATCTATGAGAAAGAATCATCGATCAGCTGCCTCTTGCACACCCCCACTGGGGATGTGCCTGCAACCAAGGTACATGCCCTTGCCTGGAATCGAACCTGGGACCTTTCAGTCTGCAGGCCAACGCTCTATCTACTGAGCCACACCGGTTTCAGCCAAAAAAGGTTTTTTAAACAGGAAAAATGCATTTGGCTCAGTAGATAGAGCGTCGGCCTGTGGACTGAAGGGTCCCGGGTTCGATTCCAGGCAAGGGCATGTACCTTGGTTGCAGGCACATCCCCAGTGGGGGTGTGCAAGAGGCAGCTGATCGATGATTCTTTCTCATAGATGTTTCTAACTCTCTGTCCCTCTCTCTTCCTCTCTGTAAGAAAAATCAATAAAAAATATATTTAAAACAAAAATTAAAAAAAAAATTTTTATGTGGCTACTAGACACGTAAACAGTAAAGCAACAAGCAGACTGTCAAAGTACAGCAGGTAGGGTAGGGAGATCTGAGGGAGATAATAGATCAACCAAAGGACTTGTATACATGCATATAAGTACAACTAATGGACACAAAACTCTGGGGAGGGAGGGTATGTATGGGAGGGGGGGCAATGTTAAAATATGTACACAGATAATATATTTATCTTTTGGTTCATCAGTTTATAATGTTCTTTATTATCCATAAATGAGTGAGGTCATGTGGTGTTTCTCTTTCATTGACTGGCTTATTTCACTCAGTATGATGTTCTCCAATTCCATCCAGGTCGCTGCAAATGATGAGAATTCCTTCTTTTTTATGGCAGCATAGTATTCCATTGTGTAGATGTACCATAGCTTTTTGATGCAATCATCTGCTGATGGGCACCTAGGCTGTTTCCAAATTCTGGCTATTGTAGATTGTGCTGCTATGAACATAGGGGTGCATATATCCTTTCTGATTGGTGTTTCTAGTTTCTTGGGATATATTCCTAGGAGTGGGATTACTGGGTCAAATGGGAGTTCCATTTTCAGTGTTTTGAGGAAACTCCACACTGTAGGAAAAGTGAATTTTAATAATGTATTTTAGTTAACCCAAAATATCCAAAGTATTATTTCAAATAATAAAAATAATTGAGATAGTTTACACTCTTTTGTTTTGCTAAGTCTTGGAAATCCAGTGTGTATTTCACACGATCACAGGCATCTCAGCTTAGACCAGGCACACTGCCGGTGCTCAGCGCTCGGGCCACCTACGCTGGCATCCCAGCAGGGGGGCTCCGTGCCAGCCTCAGCTCCGCCCCCTCCCAGGCCCCATTGACAGCCTCGGAGTGACCCTCCCAAGGCCACACGTAGAGTCTGGATTTGAACCCAGGCTCGTCTGACTCCCAAGACCCTTCTTATCCCGTGAATTCACATTCTTTTTGGCTGGAGAGCTCTTTTTCCTTAAAGAGAAACGATCTAAAGCGGCCAGCCTTCCAGGGTCCTGTGGGGCCAGAGGGGGTCTGTTTGGTTCTGAGCACAAGGCCTGGGCAGGCACAGAGGAGACGTGCCACCAGCCTGAGGCCCCAGGGGAGGCGCCTGGAGGAGGTGGTGCCCAGGCAGTCCTGAGTCAGCAGTGGGCAGAAGGCACAGAGAGAGAAAGTCTGGCTCCAAGACTCTGGGGCCAGGTGAGTTGGCTGTGGGTGTGGGCTCTGGCCGCAGATTCTCTCCAATCCCCTCGGACCCTCTAGGGGTGGGGTGGGGAGGGCCCCTCAGGATCCATTGGCTCCAACCTTAGTGGTGAAGAGAGCAGGATGTCTCAGGACAAGTGGAGAAACTGAGGCTCTGGGCAGTGGATGGCATATCTGCGTCTCCCTGTTCACCAGTGGCAACATGAAGGCCTGTGCCAGGCACCGCCCCGGGGACCCTTCACGCGGGGAGAAGCTGTGTATTTGAGAAAGCACCTTGAGCGCCAGCCTGGGAGGCGGGAATGGAGAACTGAGCCTGTGTTTGCCGGAGACGTGCTGTGTGACTGTGGGAGAAGCTTCCCTCCTCTCTGAGCCTCCATGGGGATTGGAATTCATGGCTGGAGAACCCCACCAGCTCAGGTAATCTGAGGGGCGGGTCACTGCTCCTTGGGGGAAGGGAAGCTTGAGGGAGGAGGAGGTGGCATGTCAGCCGGGCCCTGAAGACTGGTGGCAGAGGCAAGAAGAAAGGGAGTGTTTGATCCAAGGCAATAAGGAGGGAAAGCCATCAAGCGCGCACAGGATCCTGGAAGGTGTGTTTGAAAGTAGACATTTTTGTGTAAATAAAAATATGGGCACTTAACATTTTTAATTGTGCTTATGTTTCTCATTTCCTGGTAACAAGCACGTGCTGCTTGTGACATGAAATAAATAAATAAATGTTTAAAGAAGAAGAAGAAGAAGGAGGAGGAGGAGGAGGAGGAGGAGGAGGAGGAGGAGGAGGAGGAGAAGAGAAGAAGAAAAAGCCAGAGTCCTTGTTGAAAAAAAAAATGCACTACATTCATTGAGCATCCTAGCACCAAGCAGACACAGTCTCTAATCCACTCACTCCCCTTCAACAGACGAGGCAAACGAGGCTCAGAAAGGTGACATGACTGGCCCGAGATTCACAGAACTGGGTTTTGACCAGCAGATGTGCCTGAGACCCAGGGACCCATCAGCCTCAGAATCTGGTCCGAATTATCAGGTGAAATTCAGCTGCCAGGCTCCACACGGCTGCATCCGCTTCCTAACGGACAAAGGCAGCCCCGTTCCTCCCCCGGAAGTGGCAGCTGTAAGTGGCGAGAGGCTCTTGCTCCCTCTCCTAACCCTGTGAGTGGAAACATGCTATCGGCACCAGAAACCGGTAGGTGGCCAGCTCTGATTCTGGTGATGCTGCTGCAATAACAAACGCTAATACATACCGAGTCCTTGGTTTGTGGCGGGCACTGAGCCAAGCCCTTTACACACGTTTCTCATGTTCCCACCATCATGCTAAGGCGCAGGTGTGATCGTTACGACGCCCCATTTCCAGGTGGGAAGATGGAGGCTCAGAGAGGTTCAGAGTGAGCAGGTGGTTACATCTGCACCCAGGTCTAGAGGGCTCTAGAGTGGACGCCAGTAATTTCTAGAACTTGCTCCTGCAGCTCTTTTTCCCGATCCCCTACCCGCACCTCCTCCCTCCAGCCACCCCCCAATCTCCACAAGAGCATCCCGGCTGAGTTTAGGACATAAAATCCATGTCTCCTCTTGGATTTCCTTCTGTCCCTGAGCCCTCCTCCCGGCCAGGTGACTCCTCACAGCCAGCCCCTGGGGAGGCGGGTATAATTATAGATTTTTGAGAAGGACATGATTGTGTTCTCCAGCCCCAGGGCCCTAGCAGGGCTGGGCTTGCTGAGAAGACAATTAAAACCACTGTCTGCAAATTAGGGTTCTGCAGGAAAAGGAGGAAGAGGCTTGATTGTATGCAACATCTTCCTTTCTGCTTTTACAGAGAGAGAAAGGGATAGAGAGTTAGAAACATCTATGAGAAACATTGATCAGCTGCTTCCTGCATGCCCCCCCCCCCCACCACTGGGGATGTGCCCACAACCAAGGTACATGCCCTTGACCGGAATCGAACCCGGGCCCCTTCAGTCCGCAGGTCGATGCTCTATCCACTGAGCCAAGCCACTTAGGGCTTCCTTTCTGCTTTTAATGGGGGTGGGAGGTATTAAGACCCCGACCCAGTTATCAGGGCAAAACCTGCAGGAAAGAGCTCGTGGCCCTAGCGCAGCCCCTCAGTTGGGCTTCTGGAAAGGCAGGGGTGACCTGGGAGAGCTTACCCGCCCTTCTTCCAAACCTCCCAGGCCCTAGAATACCTAGGGCTTTGCCTTCAGGTCTGGGTTCAAATCTTGTTTCCTCTACCCCCTAGCTGTGTGACCAGACAAGCCCGTCTACTTCTCTGAGCCTCCGATTCTTTATCACATAAAGAAGAGAATGAGGGGACACAGGGGAGATTACACAAGGCAACACACGCCTCATGCACACAGTAGGTGCTCAAGAAACAACACTGCTTTCTCTCACTTCCTAGCTCAAAATTCTCTCCCAAGAAAGATTTCAACGATGCCTCTCTGTAGCCT